TTTCTATGTCTCTCAGCATTGAAAAACTGCGCATGCGCCATAGACTTCATCAGTTTCAAGCCTATTGTCGAAAAAATTTTGATTTTTGCCCCCCTCCATAAAGGAACTACCCTCGACGCCCCTGGAATAGATCTTTAGTTAGAAGTTGCGAGTGCCCTGATGCACATCCCGTTTAATTCTGGTAATTTGAAGGAGACACACTTTATGCAATGTCAGATGTAGACTTATTACTAAACATTTAGGAATGTGTTTTAAATAGCAGTTCTTCATCCTTCTCCGTGATGACGAGTCTGAATCTGGGGCAACACAAACAGCCAAGTACTAATCTTGTTTGAGCTAGCAAATTTACTGTATTGACATTGCACAACGTGTTTCCTATTTCGCCCCCACGTCTGTGTACAGGTTTCATCCGAAAGCAATCTCAAATCAAGACAAATATTTATGTGACGTCAACTGCAAAACTCGGGTAAGATAGAAGCAATGGTGGACAGGTCTCTTATTGCATAATTGCTTGCTCATAGCTGGAATGCATTCTGCTAAATAGGGTGCGCTGCCTGTGAGCAGTGACTATTCTGTGCTATAAACCTGTCCTAGCGAGATGGCTCTCTGTTGCTAGGAATATTAAGCCAGGTGGATCGTATTGATAGAAAGCCCCCCCCCCCCCCCCCCACCATATTGGTCGTGATTCACGCACACTGCAAAATTGGATTTTCACGCTCATCCAAACAAAAAATATAATATTAGCTATTGCTCATCAGAGCCCTGTTTAAACAGTATCTTTGCTTTGAAAGACTACAACACTACTTTCAAACCTTGAAAATCAATTTGAGATTTAATTATTATTGGTTTATTACGCACCAAATTTAGGCAATTTTTTAATTTATCATTCAAATTTTCATTCACGATTTCACAGATAGTTAAAGCCTTTTCACGACTTAACGCAAAGAAAACTCACGTTTCACTCGAGATTTCATGATTTAACGCACGAAAATATGGCAAAAAATGCATCACGCAAAAATATGGGGGTCCCTGGAAAGGGCGCCAGGTAGAAGATCCCAAAAGGCTAAATACTGAGTGAATTGTGATCTATTTCCACAATGAGCGCTTCTTTGCTTCACAACGTATACAAGCTGTCAAATCATGACATAGCTCTACTGTACAACCCTCTTTGGCAAGGTCCTTGAAATCCCATCTGAATTTTAATAATCCAATTCAACTTTCTGCCTCGTATTATCCGTGGATTGAAGACCTGAATTTTGGCCTACCTACAATTTTCCTGGATGCTGGTGTTTATGATCGTGTGATGATGTAAAGTTTTAAGCGTTTATTACAGATTTGACCGTATTTAGCGTCTGCGAATAAAACGTTGCACCAGGAACGACTTTTGCAAGTTTTTAAGCGCTTATAGAAGTTTCAACTTTATGAAATTGGTATCGAAAATCGTGAAAACCTGCGCGAAAACTAAAATTCCTGCGTCCGGTCCACAATCCGAATTTTCAGTTACCAATTCAATATAACGAAGTTTGAAGTAATTTTTGAAACGAGGCAAGATGTTCCATTTGGTGCGTTACAAACACAGTGCTTATGATATTGTAATGAGAAAACGACTATGAATAACTGGCACCGCGGAGTGTTTTTCAATTCGATCCACACTTTTGTATAAAATCTTATCCATCTTTGGTGATTCAAGGAAAAGTACTTCATATTAAGTATAGATGATGTGAAATGTTTCTCTTTCGATGAAATTTCTATATTATCTAGTGAAAAATAACTGGCTTTGTGGATATCTAGCCAATAAAACAAGGCACCTGAGAAAAAAGACGTAAAGCAATTATCAAAATACAAAAAAAAAATTACCCAGATTCATATGCTATATAGCAGAGATGGGTAAGCTACGGCCCGCGGGCCAGAATCCGGCCCGGGATGAGAATTCTTGTGGCCCGCGAGATGAAATATATCACATTATAATTTTTTTGGTTTGGATGATAAATCTGAACACCTAGGAATAAGGTCCGCAGTCGTTATAGTAATATGTTAAGGGAAGGTACCGAGCAACTTAGCTGATTTAAAAAAATACATTACAAAAGCAAAATCTCGACCTTTTCTGATTTGAAAAAAATCATTAATTTCATAATTACTTTCGAATTATAAGAAAACCCTCTCTAAGAAACTAAGTACTGTCGTGCTTTATTGGTAACATAATTATTGCATGCACATTGAAGAAGAAATGAAACTAACACATGTCAATAAAACATATCAACGTGTTTGGTGAGATGGATATAAATTGATATACAGTTCAATTAATTAAAAAAATTGTATTTCTGTTTTAATGTCCTTCTGCTATTCATGAAACAAAAAACTTAAGATAATTTTGAGTACTCTATTCCATTAAAAAAAATTTTCGTTAAAGGGGGGGGGGATTGCATCATCCCTTTTCGTTAAGCCATTATCTCAATTACCCATAGCAAGTATTGTTTTCTTTCAGTCATGGGTTTCTCTGCCTTCCCCATATGAATTTTGGGTTTGCACCACAAACTTATAGATACTGATTTGACACAAACAGTCCCAGAATGCAATTTCCGGTTCCTTGAAGCAAAAACTTCGCCAATTTAGTTTATTTGCTCCTTAACTTTATTAGCCTAAAAGTATGATATATCTATTCAAATTATAAAGTCACTGAATTTAAAATCAATAATTCATGTGGAATTGCGATAAAACTGGCAACTATCAGTACGAAAAGTTTTTTTGGCGAGGTGGAAAGTGTCCTAAATTGAAACCTTGCTTGTCGCTCTAGTTCAAGGGTGGGCAGACTTTTTGGAGACTGGGCCAGATTCTTCATCAGACTTTTTCTTAAGCAGGCCAACGGTTAGAAGGGGCATCGGACAAAGGATCATGCTTCCTCCCAACTTTTGCAAAACAGAAGCCCATGTTATAAGAAAAACGAATACGATAGTTGTAAGTAAATGATAATTAAATGACAATGATCGTAATAATGATAATCATAACAATAATAATAACAATAATAATTTTTTTTAAACATCTCATTTTCATTGAATACATTTTAAATTTACAATTATACGACTCGCTTTTACAGGCATCATATAATTGGCTTATCTGCATTACAATATTTAAAAGTCAATTAGTTCGGGGCTTAGCCATGGTTTGTTAATAATAATAATAATAATAATATTAATAATAATGAAAAACTTTCATTTAATTCAATTACACTACAATTATGAAACTCTCTTTTACATAGATTGTTTGTAATGATAGATAGAAGGTAGAAGCAGCTTGAATCTTTGAGTGCTTGGGTGTTAAAGATATTTTTGTTAAGAATTTCTCGTCTTTGAGGGCTTGGGCTTTGAAAAGCCTCTGTATCTTCCAAAAAATGTGATTGCAACAGGGCAACATACAACATTAAATATGTCATACAGATTTACACTATAGCATGTGCATTATTGTGTTAAGATATCAGATTATGCTCAAAATATATCAAATAGAAAACAGAAGTAATAGTCACCAGACAATGGCCTAGATTGGAAAATTAATAGGAAGGGTGAGAAACCTAGATTTTCCGACAAAAATCTAACAAGCATTTATATTTTTTCATAAAATTTAACATAACATTACGACATCGAAACTGAAATAAATAAATCTTTTGATATATTCAGATATTCTTATGTTTATCTAGCTTTAATTTTTCCAATCAAAATGTAGCAATTAGATAATCATAGACAATCGTGTTAAATTCCCGACCAGACCAGATGTTTTCCGAGAAAATAGCAGTCTAGCTCTAAAGGGGGGTTTACCCCCTCTGACCCCCCCCTTCTATCTACGCCACTGCTACTAGAGCAGTGTAGACACCATAGCAATTTTAGCCTCCAAACTAACCACCATCATTTTCAATTGTAGCAACCATTATTTTCAAAAATTCCTGGGGAGCATTCCCCCTACCCCTTAAAAGTGTTTGCCTAAGGAATGCATTACTATTTATCTTTCGTCCTGACCCGGGGCCCATAAATCCTCTTTTCCTCTCTGGCTATGACAGGCACCGCGGAGCAGGGGTGCTGGGGGGGCTTTAGCCCCCCCTTCACTTTTTGCAAAAAAATGCCAGATATAAAATATCAAACTACCAGAAAAGCCTCTATTTATACGGTTTTAGCCCCACACTTTTTTTAGACCCCCCACTTTTCTCAACGCTCCGCGGTGCCTGTATGAGTGCGCACAATAAAATTCGATCTTACTGCTTTTGAAAACTTTCGCCCAGTCCCTCAAAGATTCTACGGCCCAGTCTTCAAGCAGGATGAATTCGTGACAACCAGTGGTAACAACAGATATTGAACACATTCCTAGGTTTGATGAAGATATTGAAAAATCTAATTTTGAATCAATATGTTTCATTTGATATTTGTAATATCTCGGAAAACCATCCTTGCCAATCAAAGAATTATAATATGATTTTTTTCATCTCGCGGCCAAAAAATTCTTTTCCCGGGCCAGATTCTGGTCCGCCGGCTATCGGTTGCCAACCCATGCATAAAAAAGTATAAAGTTTTTCACTTAATTGTGAGAACAGGATACGAAAATTCTTTTGATGCAGACAAAGACAAACCACTAAATGGAAAAATATTCGATTTTGAATTGCAAATCACGAGTTTTTCCAAATATTTGCTTTCAACCGACGTGTTTAGTGTAAGGGGCTTCTCGGACAGAAAGATATTATTGAGGTGTACCTGTATTGGCGCCAGAATGATTTGCATGGTGCTTGGGCGCCATTCTCACACAATTTTATTTGCTGGTGCGAGCGAGCGGCTAGCGGGTAATGGCTTTTCTATTTGACCCCTGCCCCCATGCCGTGCTTGGCGGGAAGTTGAGTACTAACAATCCAAGAATGTGCATTCTGTCGGTAACTTTAAACGTGTCGGAGAATCAAGAATACTAGTTCAAGAATTTGTTATCGCACAGAAATGTTTTCAATTGGCTCATAAAAGGCTCATTTAAAATCCTCCTACGTAACAATTAACAATTTCGTTAGTAATATGTGCTCGTTTGTCTTCTGCATTGTTACTGGCTTTCAACATGTTGGATTTCGACGGTAGGCCCCGATTTCCACAATAATAAAAAACTGTTAGTCGTTTCAACAAACCTGGATCCTTACAACAAATATAGGCTTAAACTTCTACGAATCAATTCAATTTATTTAATGCATCAAAAACCAAATATGTTCTTGTGATCGGCTCGGAACCATAGAAGGGGTTGAAGAAATATTTCCTTGAACCGATCCCAAAGGATTTTTTTATTGTGTGCAGGCTTCAAAGGTGCCGCGTTTTGTCGGGTAGTTAATTGCGTTCGCTGTGTTTATCAAATGGCGGCTTCTTTTCGAGCGGGTTTGATTGACATCGGCGCTGTCAGGCTTCATCGCAGCTGCTTGTAATTAGCTGGCCGGCTTACATGTGCAAAGTTGGCACACGACCATGTGCTAACACCCTAAAATATTAGCAACGATCGCTGATTGGTGCGGTTTCGTCTCTCAAAGTGACGTTGCTCGCACGGCTTTCACTTGGGAAGCCACTACATTGCGGCGGCATTGTTTGATGTCCGATCAATCAAGTGAAACCTTCATAGTAGGCCCGAACGAAGCCTTTCCAGTGTTGTGAAGGCCACATAATGCTTATAACTTGGATCGCGAAACTGCCTGCATCGAAATTGGCTTTTCTCACAACTTTATAGCAAACGTAGTGGCAGGACTTTATCGTAAGACTTCCAAAGAGATTCGCTTTATTCTTTATGTTTAAAAGGATGTATGCATTCGATGTTTGTTTATACTTTTGCCGTTCATCCGACTGCGGCCTTTATTGAAGTGCCGAAATCTTGTGAAAGGCGGCTAAGTTGCAAGGGAAAGCGCTATTGTTGGGGCTCATCACTGTTCATATGTCGCTGTGAAAGTAGATAATTGCTTGTGTCCGTCGTTGGTTCATTTCTAATCGATTATGCTGAAAGTAGTTTATCTGAGTTGTTTCTGTAACGCTTGCTGATGTTCCTGTTATCATTTTGAAGCTTGTCGTTCAGGGATTTGGGCCTAACACAGAACTCCAACTCAAATTTCCAACATGGACGTTGAAACTGCGGTTCTACCGACTTCTAGTCGGCCTCCACCAGCGGGGCAGGATGCAGTCGATTTCAAGGAAGAAGAATTCAAGGCAACTGAATGCCAAGGAGCAAAAGCTAATTGCTACGAGATTGGAAAACCTATCCAAGGAACTCCCCTAACTTTGTCATGTCAAAACCCCTTGGATGTATCGCAGAAAATGGCACATTTTCAACAAAACTTTGCACTTGACGAAGCTTGTAATGCAGCTGCTATTCGAAACAATAATATTTGTTCAGAATATTTTTATGAAAACTGGAGAAACAATTTTGAATCACTAGTTTATGATGCCGAAGGTCGACAAGTTTTTTATTTGTACCTGAAACATGTGAAGCATGCCGTACTACTCGATTGCTTGCAAGCATGTGAAGTCTTTCGTGCGCTTCCACCGACGAACGATTTGTATATATCTGCAAGGGATTTTTATAAAAGATTTATACAGTTTAGAAACCCCAAGCTTCATATACACGACTCAACTAGGACCAAAGTCAATCAGTGGATGAGGAATAGTTCTTTGCATAGATCAATGTTTGAAGGTGTTGAGTGTGATGTTTTGACTGAACTGAAAAACACATGGCACCATAGGTTTATATCTTCAGATTATTTCTTGAATTATTGCTTATCTGCTAATCAAGGCCCTCTCGAAACTTCAAAGCAATTTCAGTCCAGCTCGAAGGGATTAAGGATGCCAGTCGTGGAAGAAGAGAACACGGGGGATTTTCGCGAAAAAGATGGCGCCCACGGTAAAGAAATTAAAGGGAAATCCATGAAGTTCTCAGATGAGCTTAGGTGAGATTTCTTTGTAATTCTTTACAGCAATCCAGTTGATAATTCTGTTTTCTATGACTTAAACCCCAAATGGTCTCAAGAAATGATCCCTATTGTTGTTCAGCTTATCTTCAAAATGATCTAGAAATCGGCATGCAAAAAGGGACACGGCTTCCTTATTATCTTTTACGATGTCTCTTTTATTATATGACAGCAAGTAAATATCAAGATCAAAATTTGTATGCTGTCTTGTTTAGAAATAAAAGTCTTTACAAAACCTCATTTTGTCGTATTTAGACTGATGGACAAGAGGCGGTACTTTTAATGTACAAAGTTTTAATTATGGGAGGTACTTGTGCACAGCGTTTGAAAACTGGTTCACTTCAAAGTTTCCTTCGTGAATTTTCACTATGTGTATTGTCATATGAAAGTGGTGACATGTGATCCCTCTGTTTCTGGATGACAAGGACCTTGTCGAGGCCTTTGGATCAAATATCATAAGTTGATAATTAGCCTTCGAATATTATTATTAGGTTAACCATCCACCTAGTTACAGTTTCTAAAGTGTTTATAAGTATTCTTTTTTAACAAAGAATAGTTTATCGATTCACTGTTTCCTTCAATTTAACTCCAGGGAGCTTTCTCCTTGTGCATTTATTTGTTATTTAGTTAAGAAGTGTTTAGTAATTAAGTAAACAAGTCTAATGCCATGTTGGTTCCTGATATAGGGGTGCCTCACCCCGTATCCTTTTGATTTACCTCAGATTGGTTCAAAGTCCTTTGCTTGAACAAACTATTGCAAAGATCTGCCCAAAGATGTTTTGTTTTTTGGGCGGTCCCGCCGATACTTGTATTTGGCATATTTAGAACACATTCGATAAGACTTTCATGGAAATATATTTTTCAATCAAAATAGATAATATATTGATTTCCTAAAAACCTCAACAACTTTTACTATTGAATTGATGTTCAGAGGATCTTGGCAATTTTCTCTTTGTAGTGGATGGTGTAAACGAATCAATTGTAACCATTGTTAGTGACAGCTTCAGCATATAAATCTGCCTCTTTTTATGGGTCGACTTCAGGCTTTTATTTTTTGGGAGTTTTTTCAAGAAACATATTTGCCTGAAATGATGGTTATCGCGTATTGAAATTTCTCATTGAAACGTGCAATGTCACAAGTATTCTACTCATTAGCAAAGTTAGACAATAAAAAGAATAGGATATTGCATGTCTTCTCTTGGTATTTACTTAAGCTGAACAACACTCGAGAAAGAATCAGGTTTCATCTCCTCTTTCTCTGCCTGTTAAAGATCACTTTGTTCAAGCAAGGGTCAACATGCGGTGTATGTCAAGTTGGGATTACATTGAATACCATGCAAACCACATCCTCTGCTCTCCGTTTTGCTAGCTTTTTGAACTTTGTCTTGCTGGAATTCAAAACTTCCTCAAATAAACCCATAAAGAAGGTAATTAAAGCAGCTCCAGATCTTTGATTTAAGAGGAAACCAATGATGCTTTGTAATGCACCCTGTTAAAATAAAAGATTTTCATTGGATTTTGACAGAGCTAGCAAGTCATTTACTCTACTCAAAGAGGAAGGTTGTCAACAAGAGCTTCTGCAAGCCTCTGCTTTTGTTCGTTTGCTTGTTAACCGCCTCAGCCAACCAAGCTCTTTTCAATCCAAATCCCTTTATTTTTCATCCTTCATTTTGCATATGAAAATCCTGAAATTGACCGTGACTGTTCGTTGTTCCGTAATTAGCTTTCAAATCAATATTTTTGAATGTTTAAATCTTTCGGAAAACATCTGCACAAATGAAATTTTCTACCGTAATTCCATTTTAATTATCTTGTTTCATGGAATCTGAAGGCCTTTAACTTGCTTTTCTTACTGTGCCTCTGTCAGATGGCTTGTTCAAAAATCCCTTTCACGTTAAGGGGTGCTGGCAGAGGTACAGAAGGTTTATAGTAATACACATTTGTCTTTGATTTCTTGTATAATTAGAAGAAAGTATATATAAAGTACAACATCATTTATAAAGATGAAGTAGAAAGATAAATATCTTAGTAAGTCTTATATATTTGCTTTGTGAGATACCCCTAATAATGAACTTTTGGTGATTGACAGGGAATAAGGGGATTGTAATAGGAACTGCTCTAATGATCTGCATTTTTTTTAGAAGGACAGTGCAGGATACAGCAATATCTTGTCAGCGAGCAGAAAACCCCAGTTTGATGGCCAAAGCTGAGAGTGATCTTGGTGATCCTGATTGCAAGGAACGAAAACCAAAGCAGGATTCACTGGTAGCAAGGTGAAGACTAGCGTTGTGAATTTTAAGGGTGTCATGTTTATCTTAGAGCACCAGAGACAAAGGATGTATATAGCTTTTTGAATTCCCAGTTAAATTTTCCTTGTACCAAAGCTTTTAAACATGCTGTTAAGATAATCCATGCCATCAATTTGATACAAAGACCCTTTATACACAACTTTGCTGTTACATGGACAGTTATTGACTGTGTATTTAATAGGCCTAGTGTTTAAATCAATGTAATATAAGAGTTTTTAATCAACTTTCCCTATTCTTTTCAGTGATTTGATGATTGGTAAAAAGACAAGACAGAAAAACAAAGAACATGAAGACAATTTACCAACCCTGCCCCATTTTAAACCAGTATGTTGTCCTAATGCTCTTTCATATTTCTATGCCAAGGCTTTTTAATTTGATTACAGGGTTGCTGAGGTTCTCTTTTTAACATAATCAGTTAAAAAAGGACTATGAACATTCCAGAGCTTTTGTGGAAGACCTGTAGGGCTTGAAATTAGATTGTTAGTAGTCAGATTCTTGAATTGCAATAAATGTTACAGCCTTCGGGGCTTGCACCACAGAATACTTACAGAACTAATATTTAAAGCTTGTCTTGTTACAAATCTAAATTGCAAAGATTCACATCTATCAAATATATATTTATAGATTAATGTAAATGTAAACTTTACAGAATAATTCTTGATAGATTAAGGTTATTTAAAAGATGTATCACAAGAAGCATTTTTATTTTAGCGAACAGAAAGGATTAGTAGAGAAGCCATGAAACCCATGAAGCCAGAAGAGTTTGCCAATGTTCTTTGTCAGAAATTAGAAAAAGTCATTCGAGATAGAGCTCTAGCAGAAAGCCAAGTAGAGACTCCGCTTCCAGTAACTGTGAGTGATCACTTTTTATTTGCTAGTTTTTTGGCTATTGAATTCAGTGTTTCCTTTTTATATTTCCTATTTTATATTTGTGCATTGTATTTTCCTTATTATTGCTTTCTAAAAAGTCCAAATTTGTATTATTCTATATGTTCAAGTTGATATCGTGCTCAATTCTGAGATAAAAATTTTGAAAATCTTAGTATTTGTGTTTTGTTAACATATAAAACTCCAATTTTTCAGGATGAGTTAGTGCACACCATAAACCAAAATGAACAGAGTACACCTATGGTTTCAACTGGAACTGGTCTGGCATCCACAGATGAAAATATTGCCACTGGAAGCTGCCAGGGACATAGCAATTACCCACACTCAGAAAGGTATTCAGTGGCAGGAATGTCTTCAACCAGTGGATCTGAGCTGAAGTCAGATAGTCAGCTTAAATACAGACATGGAGCGAAAGAACTTGCTTCTGCTGTACACCATGCACTAAGGACAGAATTAAAGGAATGTCATTGCCAGCAGTGCCTTGAAAAACAGCTTTCCTCGCGAAAATTTGAAAATACAACTCATAATAATATAGTACAAGATGAAATTGGTTCACAAATTGCGCACTGTCAGTGTTGTAGACTCTTGCAGAAAGGTCACCAGGAACCATTGTTACATCATAAAAATAATGGACAACATGGAAAACTGACAACTTCAAATTTAGAAAATCTTAAAGGTCCACAGGTAATGGTAGATCATCAAAGAATTTACTCATGGATGGAACATAATGAAAAATATAAATCTGAAATGATGCATCCTCATTCAATAGACTCGTCTTCACAGACAAATGCAACAAAACATAGGCATAGACAGCCTGTTGTTTATGATACAAGTAGGCCTAGCTGTTCTTCAGGCAGTGTGGAACATGGATTTGCAAGAGATCATGCTCTACCACTTCTTTCACAGCCTGATACTAGTTTGGTATTAGAGGAAGCAAAACGTAGATTGGAAGATACAAATCGTTCTATGGGCAAAAGTTCCAGAAGAAGTGGAAGGTCAAGTAGCAGGTATGAATTATAATTATATATTCACTGTATTTATATCAAAGATACTGTGTATGTAAAACTGGGGGTTGCAACTTAGAACTGTCTTATTCTTTGTACCAAAGAATATTTATTATTAATTAATCATGAAACCAGTATACATATACCAGTAAATGATTAAAATTACTGCTTTAATCATATGTCTGCTGTATAGTGCTTCATGCCATATTGCAGACTGGCAAACTGTACATTGCCTTATGAGCTTATTCCCTTCCCTTACAAATCAAATGCAACTTACATATAAAAACTGACAGTTGCCTAATGATCACATTAAGCATTAGATTAAGAGTAGCAGATACATATATTAATGAAAACTACTGTTTTCCAGTCTGTCATAAAGTGCATAATGCTATTTCTAGTTTCACCCTTACAGTGATAATGTGATCATCAGACCTCATTATCTGTGATCATAGCTATTCATTGCCTATAAGGATTTTATGTACTTTCCAGCACCCTTTTAAAATAATACAAAAAGGGATTCAGAGAATGTGCCTACTCAATTGTACATGTTGGGGTGCATATTGTAAGTTAGAATATTAAAATCATTGACTTAATCTTAATCTCAGTACTTGAAACCTGAAATAAGAGTACAGATGTCATATGCAGTTCTGAAATGAGGACAGAAAAAGAGCCATTATTCACATAAGGTTGTGATGTACAGGGTTTGAAAGGCTTGTTAGTATTTCCTCATGACAACTGATAAATGTGAGTTTTATGTACAATGCATCTTCAATGTTCATCAAATTTGACCCCCCCCCCCCCTCTTCTTCTGTAATGAAATCTCTAATTTTCTCAGCCTCTTATTTTTTATCATCTCTTGTAGGGCACCATACATGGAGTCTGTTTACCCTGAAACAGCCATGAGTACCACATCAGATAACTGGACCTTATCAGATTCTGCTTCATCTGTGTCAAGAAACCAGGTTCCTTCAATTATATCTTCATCAATTCCATCATCAGCATCCCAGTATATTAACGAATCAACCAGTAACCTTCATTGTGACAGTGTCCGTAGCCATAGCAGTGGTGGTAGCAGAGGAAGCAGAAGTGATATGACTGTTGTTACTTACTTTTTGGGACTTGAGCCTATTCCATATAGAACAAGTCTTCGTGGCAAAAATATCACCTTGGCACAGTTTAAAGCACTGATCACTAAAAAGGGAACTTATAGGTATGTACAACTTTATGCTTCATTTGTGATTGTGAAAGGGTTATTTTTCAATTTTGAATTTTGATATATTGTAGTAATGTTAGTTGATAGTTCTTCTTAATTGTACATTGATGCAAACAAAAACCTTCAATATACAATCTTGAGGTTTTGATAGGCAGGTGTGATCTCAATAATTGCTGCTCAAGAAAGAATTTAATTTCATGACTGCAATTAAAGCATACTAATGATAAACTCTGAAGTTAATGAAATTCTTTGTTATGCCCTATAAGGGATAAAAGCCACAATCCGATGTGGTATCTTTTACATGCTATATGTGGCCAAGTATTGGATTGAAGTTAGAGAGGTAGTCACGCGTGGAATGACACTTTATTAATCTAATATTTAGTTCCTTGATTTAAACGATTTCGCTGGCTATCATACGGAACTTTGGAGGCAGATTAGAGAGAGCTGATCATTGACAACAAGGCATGTTGATTGGATTTGTGAAGGGTACTGGCTAATAAACTGTTTCTTGACCAACTTTAGTTGATGCGTACTGCAAAATGAGTAGCTTTGCGGTTTTCTTCTAACCCAACTATGAACCTGCATTGTACTTGTATTTTGTATGACGTCTTTACAACATTTGCCTGTATATGGATGTAATCCTCGTTATCCTTTTCATCGGATCTTATGTTTGTTTGCTCCCTATGCTTTGTACAGTCAGCCAGTGGGTCCGTTGTCAATCCTACCAAACCGAGGTTCTTGATCAAAGTATCAACCAAACTAAATAAGCTCCTCTTTTGTTTCCAGGTACTTCTTCAAAACCAAAACTAAAGATGATGGCACTGTCTACCAGCAAGTCGAGAACGATGATGAGTATTTGCCTAAATTCGAAAATAAAATTGTAGTAAAAGTGGAAAAGGTTGAATAATAATCAGCGACATTAATTCTGGAAAGTAATGATAATGTAATTATTTCAAAATCAACATATTCTGTTAACTTTATAATTCGCACACACATCTTTTGTTATTGTTTAAACTTCCTCAGGACAAGTATTTTTGCTCAGCTATTTCGAAACAAAGACACCTCAGTCGATTATTTAAGTTTGTGTGACAATTCAGCCCGCATTGTGATTTTCAGAGTTGCGACGAAACGGCTTGGGAATAAAGAGACCTCGATTTATTTAAGAGTCCCAAAAGTAGTGCTGCTATGAACTGAACCAATCTTACATAGCCTGCATGCGATTTCCTGATGAATTTCGCCATGTGCTCTCTAGGATTACAATCTTTTAAGGAAATATCAGCCTTTCATGTAATTAAGCAAGCCATTATTCAGGACCAGCTTACTGCTAGCTTTATGCTGATGTACGTAGACGTTTCCTATATGCAAAAGACCATCCAGTGTTAATGCCTAACTACTACGAAAAATGAAACAATTGACGGAGATGCATCACGTAATGGAAGATGCAATACATAGTTGGAGCGTAAGGTCATTGCTAAAGCTAGACAGTTTCCTGGTTTCCTTGTAGCTTGTTTGTACATTTTGAGATTAAGATAAAAGATTTCTTTGATATCCTAATGAAAATCTTGTGATTTAATAAAAAGAGCATCTTTGATGTTTTTCCCATGTGAATTAGCCCCTGACACATGATATATGAGATAAAGAGTGCTATATCATGAAACCCAAGCACCTTCTCCCCTTTACTTAGCACCCCTGTACATCTAGGCACATAATTTTTGTCCGGCAATTCATTGCATCTTGTATCAATTAACTTGCTATACACACGAGGTGTTCGTATCCCTGTAGAGCATATTAGATAATGGTAGTTTGATATGAAACATTTCATAAGCCATACACATTTTTTATACGAAAACTATTGATAATTTTAAATTCTGTCTCAGAGAGGTATTGGAAGTAATGTGTACAAAAATTTTGTAATATATTATACATATTGGATACGTTAGAAAGCTGTGTAACCTCATTTGGTTTGAAGTTAGATTTGAATGCATTTTAAATGGACTGATGACAAGAAATGCGTTTGGTGACTCTCCTCAATTTTCTGTGATGTTTTAGTAAACCATTCACCATCTGCATTTTCAATTTTGATTAATATGATGGCTTGCTGATTGTTGGCAATAGAGATTACAGCAATCATTTGATAGATTTATGCGCGTTGCAGTTCAAAGCAACACTTTTGGCAGGAGTTAAGAAGCGAGTCTTATTAAATACTTGTCTGAATGCGCCAGTCACAGTAGCAAGCTTTTGCGTCGATCTGAAAACATGAAATTCAAAAAATTTAGCATTTGGTTGCATGGCCCACACTGAATTTTGACCACTGGATTCATCACAAAATCGCATTTGCATCCCAACTCTGCTGCCAGTTTGAGAATACCTTTAAATGAACAGTTGAATTCCTAAATCTAATCGTATCTATTTTTTGGTAAATGACGTTAAAATGACCAATAAAACAGCTTTGCGCCGTATGATGGTTTTGCAGGATGAGCTTCAAAACCAGCTCCTAGCTCAAGAATCATTTAACAAGCCATACCTTTTATGTGTTAAATACTGTATGGAACTCTATTTTTCTATTTTTTTGGTGCTCCACAGAATATGATAATCGAAGCTTGAAAGTACTTCCTGATGATGCTATAACAATGACAACCTACAGTAATTTCATAGGTTTTTGTGTTTTCGTTTGTCGAACACTGTATGTGAAACACGTCCACTATAAAGTCCCATTGCCTCTAGCTTTTTTGTTGGAAAAGCCCTTACTGTGTTGAAAATACAGACAGAAGATCTAACTAATCAATGAGATTTAAAGCTGAACCCACTTGACTAAGAATGCTGTTAAAAATCTCTTCAAATTAGAGAAGAAATATTAATCATTATCCTAAACAGATCAATAAATAAACAGATAATGCTTTATATGAATAAAGGAATCCATATTGCCAAAAAATGTTTTTTAATAAAGATATTACAATGTTTTGCTAGTTCTCAAATCATTTCTAGAACCCCGATACGGATTGCCTTATGCTTTATGCCAGCCAAAGAATCACATTGATGGACCACTCGATGACGAAAGTTTGAGCTCTGCATTTTTAAACTCGATTTATCTTAGTTTTTTATATGTTAGCTTAAATTTCCATTTTTGGGATTTGCTAGTTTTTGTAGCAAGTTTTTTATATAAAAAAATAAGAGTAAGATTTTTCTACAATGTTTAAAGTAAGGGTGCTTGCCAAGTTTTTCTTGGAAAGTGGTTAATATACAAATTTTTTTCAATAACAGCATCGTTTCGGAAATCAGATTGTGATATTGATGTAATACTTGAGCTTGCATTAGAAAGGTTTTAAGAAATTATCGTTACCTTACCTGAATTTTTCCGTTTTCACATGAAATTCGATAAAACTTTACTCCTTTTTACCTTGTTTGTACTTTATTTCAAACGAAACAGATACATTTGCAAATGGAATTTAAAAACAGTCAGAAATGAAAACTGATCTAAATGAAGATGTCCCATTCTATTATCATCTAGAAACTACTTACCTGACTAGGAAATGTAATCAAAACAGGTTTCAAAAACCTTTTGACTATGCCAGGTGCATTGACTTTCCCAGGTACAATGACGGTCCATTCTTCAGCTCAGAAATATCGTTGCTTGCATAATGCTGTTCGAGTAGTGGAAATTCTTTTTTTTTCGGTAAGTTCAGAATATCTATGAAGAGTTGTATAGAAGAACACGTTTGAATCATGTAGCAAATATCATTGATGAAGCAATCTGAATGGGTTCGATAATCAATGTACATTAACAACAAAAATTTTCCTCAGATAACTTTTTGGCGGATAAACTTGGTCGAAAAAAAATTTCGGACAACTTTTGAGAACTTCGGACAAAATTTCATTGTATATTTTTAACATAAATATAGCAGCATATTGACAAAATCTTCAAAGGCCAAACCATACAGATTGCTTTATACTCAATCCCATAGGTACCGACTTCGTGGAGACTTAGGAGCTCGAGCACCCGCTCAGAATTATTTGGCTCAACCCCCCCCCCCCCCCCCCTCTCCCTCTCCCCCCCCCAGACAGCGTGTCAGAAAGACCAAACTAAAGCGGTTATTTATTCAGTTTATGTAAAGGCTGGGTCAACAGAGATGCTTTTAGCATTCAAAGAGTCTCTACTCTATATCTAAATGGTATGACAGTTTATGTAAAATTGTGAATATAAGTATAAGATTCGGAAAGCATAAGACCATCTACAACAGGAAATGTTGGTCTGGAAAGTTTGCTTCTATTGAGTAAAATGTGTAAAATGTGTGAGTCCTTACTCGTTACAAATGCAAATACCTTGAACGAATTAAAGAAATAGTACAGTTGAGTAAAAAAAGTCAGAGGAGGAATCTTTTGAAACCGGCGACAAAAGACAGTTTGAGCAGGTAGCCAGGGTGTAAGATGGGGGGGGGGGGGGGCAAAAGCGCGTTGATCATGGGAAAATTGGATTCCACACCTTTTAGAATGGCAGAAAACGCTCTTTTTCAAATATATCTTTTGCCATTGGGGGCAACTGCCCCTCTTACCTCCCTCTCGCTACGCAACTAAGAACTATTTTTATTGAACAATGATGATAAAGAGGTTAGTTCAAAAACCGACAATGATGATGATGATCATGATGCCGATGGTAAAGACAATTATTGAGACGTTGTAAATGAGGAAAAGGGCGTAGTTGTTACTGAAAAGATAAAAAAGATACATTAATTTTATTCCCAACCTCATCTAAGAGTTTTTCTATGCGAATTCTCAAAAATATTAAATTCAAAAAATTTCGTCGTGACCAAATATCGTCTCATTTTGAGTTTCGTCGAAGAAAATTTCGTCAAGATATTGGTCCGAAAATTTGTCACGAGGAAATTGTTTGCAGTTAATGTAGTTCCCTGTCTTGTTCGTCGAGGGAGTAATAAAAACAAACTGATATAGCAAAAGTACGACTTTGAATATGGAAGTTGAATATAATTGCGGCGTATCGAGCATAACGCTTAAATGGTTAGAAAGGGAGTGAAGAGTAGAATCTAAAGATTAACATGACTTTTTCAGTCATAATAACCTGTGCATGCATGATCTATCGAGTGATATTCTGGAAATCCAAACTATTATTTGTGTGATTTTGTCACTTTTTTAAAAAGAAATATCACTTCTGTTAATTTAAGTTTCGATGGATATATAGCCTCCAGGAGAGATTGGTTAAAGATTTCGCTACTAACTGACACATCTTCAATCCAAAAAAAATCAATAATTTCGTTGGAATAATACAAGGACCGATTGATTTTGATGAATCAAGATCTATAATTATTCCATTTAATTTAATAGGAGTGACTGGTAAAAGATAGACTGATTTGGGAATTCTATTAACAAGATTGATCTGGTGATGTCAGCATTGACGAACAAATCATAGACTTCGTTAGATATTTCAGTTGGGCCTGACCTTATACAAACGTCTTTATCGTTAATTCTGCTGATTCTAGAAATTACAGAGCTTTTGTTTGGCACAATTGTCTTGACTCTAGACCATTATTTTTCCTTGTTTTGCCAGTTGTCTATAAAATAGCTTTGAAAGTATCTTGTTCGATAATTTTTCAATTCATACACCGATTCCACCTATGGCCTCGTTTTGGAAATTACTCCAAACTTCATTTGTACGACTTTTTAGAGCTCAGATTCGGTTTATCACCATAATTTTCGGCCTGATACAGTTTTTCATATTTCGGTGTTTGTATTTTAGATTTTACAGAGAGATGAAGTTTAACAACTTGTTTGGTATTTGACCACAAAAGTCGTTCCGGGCTTTTTTGTCACCACGTCATAAAAATCAAAATCAGGAGCAATAACATAACGAAAACTTTCAAGTAGACTAAAATTCTTGTTCTCCATCCGAATCTGGCGTTAAAAATTTTGCACAAAGAATTTGGAGAATTTTTCAAATGAGGCTGTAAGTTGAATTGGTGTATTGGATTTCTGAATTTCTGAATTTCTGAATTTCTGAAACGGTTTCTGAATTTATTATATATGTTGAAATTATTTCCTCACTTGCTCTTTCTCAATTTCCTGAACATTTGATCTCTAAGTATCATTATTTTCTTAATACTACTGTTTTATCGTGATTTTTCTTAGAATTTTACTTCCATTTTTAACACGTTTTCAGGGCCGGCAAAACGTATTTGGAGTGGAGGGGCTAAATATGAAAGTCTTGAAAGGGCTTAGGTTAGGCCTTGAGAAAATGTTATGATTATTGCATTTTAGGGATGGCCAGAGATAGGCCAGAGACTGTATCTAAAATGGATTTTGACTGGAGGAAAATCTAAGGCAATAGATCTAAGCTTTGTTTAATCAATATGTCCCATAGTCTCGTCTGCTGTGATCTTGATTTGGAAAAAGAAAAGGTCTTGCAAACTTTTAGAATCACCTTTATAATATAGCTCGTAGTGAAGTTTTTTTTAGATTTCAAAAGTACCCAAAATAAGATTGAGGAAACAAGGTTTAACAAAAACAGATTGTCAGCTAAAATAAAAGCAATTTAAGCAGTTTGTACACTTGGGATATTGTTTTGTAACATCTGATTTTAAGTATTTCGGAAAATAAGGTGCTTTTAACAAAAAATCTGGATCTTAAAACTTTCAACCAGCGCTGATCAAAAACAGTTTTCATGGAGTTTATAATTGCATCTAAATTTTATGTTTCTTATTGGGAATGGATTATCAATACAATCAAACTTTGAAGTTTTCTTGATGTTACTTTTCTAGAACAAATCTGCACATTCTTTCTTTCTAATTTTTAAAAAATTTTCCTTTCGTCAGTTTTTTTCCCTTCAACAGCGATTTCTCTCTATTTGTAATGTTCCTTAGAAATTTGTTGTTAACAAATAGACCTTGTGAGCCAAGTTTTGGCAATAGAAAAAAGGAAGCTGGCACCAAACTGTTACTCGCTGTACAACTAAGGCATTGCCGATTTCTTCGATCTATTTCCAATATTCAATTTTACATTTGTCTTCTATGGTAAAGACATTGCAACCAAGCTAAAGCTTAAGGCATTACCAAGGGATTACCAGACACAGTTACTTACAGAATGTAATGCTACATTTATTTCCACTTTTGCCTAAAATTTTCCTTTAGCTCTGCAGAAAGATGGGTAGTCATCAGTGGCGTAGCGTCCGGGTATTCAAGGTATTCAGTGAATACCCTGAGATTTCTCAGAAAAAATATTAATACGACGTATAATTGTAATAAGTAAAAAATGTTTTGGGGCTATTGATTCTGTTTGAGTTCGTTACCTCCGATATTCTACATTTTGTACAAGTACAAAATATCATCAAATTCATGGAAACAATAACGCTGCGAAGCATAGAGAAGCTGGGAGATCTTTGAAGCTAATTTTGAAGATTGAGCTACTTCATGTTGTATGGAGATCGGTCATGAATACGCAGTGAATACCCTAGCCCGTACTTTAACCAATCAAAATGCTCCTTTCCATGAATAATATTTGCCGTTAATCAGCTAAAACAATGGTTCTGTACGCTGAGAAATATGCAGCGTACAGCCTCAAAGTTGGTTCAAAATAGTCTCGTTATGAGATCGATATAAACAGTTAATGAACGTCGGAGCAGTTGGAGTGATGGAGCTGCATCGAAAACAGTAAACATGACTTAATTAAAAAACTATTGCAATGTCCGTATTACTGTTTCATAATCATTCTCTCATTTGACCACTAAACTTAATCTACCAACAGCAAAGTGGAAAGGAAAGGTAGGCTGCTACATAATTATACACTGACTCGGATCTGTTCCCTCTCTTGAAATGCCAATTTGTTATTGCTTGCCAATCAGGGATGTTTCTGTTTGTATTATGTGATAGAATTAAAGTAAATGCAGATAGGCCTGGATAATATCCTTATAGTTGCCTGGTGTATTCAGTTATCTTGTTGGCCTATTTTGTTTGCATTATTCGAGCGCATTTATTTGCATTATTGTGCAGTCTCATCTCATTACCTTTGATTCTTTCAAATATTAACTTGTATTGAAAATATCACGATTAGGCCATGAAGAAAAAGTCTATACTGCATACCACAAAATCATTTATAACTCATGTTTATGCCCTATGTGAATAATTGTGAAACTTTCGAAAGCCCTTTTGTATTAAGGTATCAAGAGAAGGTGTTTACAGTTACTTCCTCTTTACATCAGTGCAAATGTTAGACGATTCAACAACAACTATTGGGACATATGTCGACCAGTAAAATTTTACTGGCTTTCAATGATATGTTTTGATTTGAATTACTTTTGATGAAATGGTTAGTGGTAATTTGATGCAACGAATGAGTTCGAAGAGTATATTTGAAGGGTCCTTTAGCAAAGTATCGTTTTCATCATAGTAATGCCCTGACAGTGCAGTACTTGCCAACCGAACCAAAAAGAAAATTGGATAAAATGTCATGAGCTAGTCCTCTTAATCTTCCTATTATCCCCCTATTTTCATCAAGCCCCATCGTGCCACACCCTGCCCCACCCTTTTGTTTAATAGAGAATACCCAGTTGAAAAAGTCACGCTACGCCACTGGTAGTCATGCCCCGCGCCCCCCGCCCCTCCCCCGCACCTCCCCGCCCCCTCCCCCCGCACTCCCCGCCCCTCCCCCGCCCCCCCCGCCCCTCCCCCGCCCCTCCCCCCGCTTTCACTTGCCCTGGTTTTGATAGCTACATGTTTGGTTACGACCACAAAGACTAGATCATTTAAGAATTTATTGTAGTTCGCATTTTCACCAAATCATTAATGAACTTTGTTGATTAAATGATGAAAAATCATATTTAAAGTATTTGAAGGTTTTATGAGGGGCTAGCATATCATTAAATGAAAAAGTGTTGAAAATGAACTGATGTATAAGGTTAAATATTCCCAAAATTTTTTTGCCAACCAGTCATGTAGATAAAAATACTATGAATAATAATTGAAGAATGTTCAGAAATTCTTCTTGCATAGCTTTTTATGCATGGTAAGAAGAGGTTACTAAAAGGTTGATTAGATCATCTGTCAGAGTATGGAGTATGGAGTATGGACTTTAAAAAGTCATTAGTCGGAGTAATTTTCTTTCGTTCTTTTTATAAACTAGTGCCTTTATAGGCACTTATCATGAAAACTGGTCACATGGCTTCGATTGCTCTATCTAGAAATGTGTCTTTTAGAAATTCCTATCAATTGTTGCTGTTAATATATATCATGATTTATGAATGATCTATCAAATGATTAACAATTGATGCTGAAAAAAGGTTTGAGTTTTGAGTGGTTTGCTCTGGAGTTTGAGTTCGATTTTGTTCCTACGCACCCATTTCGCAAGATGAGCAAGTTTCCTAAACACAACAACAACTACATTAATCTGAATGACGTAACTGGCTTTCATAAGAAAGTTTAGCCCTAGCATCTCTTCTTCGGTTTGAGAGGAACATTCAAGAAATCGTTTAAAAGACAGCTAAATGGGTATTCTAGGTGGAGGTGGAGGAACTTCGAACTTCGAGAGGCTACTCGGTGAGACACAATATGCCCGTTTTCATTTTTCTTCGTGTTTATAATGTATTTTCGCCCTTTGCTTCAATTATGAGCAAGGCCTAAACTTGCTTAATTCTGACTCTCATATCGTAAATGGAATAGTAAATTAAATACTAAACTATGTTTTCAACAATTTCTGTCCGGTTCAGTTGAATCTTTTAAAAGTTTCACTTCATATAATCGTTCTAATAAGTACATACTTTGTACCATCACCAGAGTTTTGAAAACATTATCATGACTGCTTAAGGAAGATTTCATTGTTTTGCGTAATGTATGACACAAATAACCTAAACGGGGTTTCAAAATGTAAATTTAAAGTAAATAAGTTAAGTATTTATTTAAGAGGACCTAGGAAATTTTCACGTGCACTTGATAACTATTACTCTAACCAGAAGTAGTTGTTTGGCTTTCAAGCACAAATACTGAGATGTAAACCAGGTTGGAACACATACGGAGTTTGTTACTGTTTGTTACTGTTTGTTACTTGTAACTGCAACTAGTTTCAGATTGGAAGCTGTGAAATTTTGAATTATTCCATAACAAGCGTTTCCTCAGCTTTTTTCAAGACAGATTCATCCATGATGTCTTTATTCACAATTCCCTGTTTATCATTATCAACCCTTGGATATTAAGAATCTGCAAGATCTTTGAGGAAGCTCTTTGTAGCATAAATATGCACACGAAAAGCAAAAAAAGAGTGGGTACACATATTTTATAATAAGAAGCTAAGATCAAGGGCTAGTATAGTCATTTTGCCACCAGAAGTTTTGTATGTGTTTCTTAATTTTCTTGGGATCAGTATCCAGCAATTATAACCCCTTGAGAAGTTGAAGTCAAACAAGTTCTTAAAATGAAACTAATTGAGTGTTTTGTTACTGAAAATGAATGCAATCTGCAAGTCAAGTGTTATACAGTCGTATTCAATGCCCTAGCTATTTTCGTGAGTGGAAATGGTAAAAACTGCAAATTAAATATGTTTCTGCAGAAAAATTATATGCAAATTGTACTGAATATTTTTATTATACTGTAATATTATGAATACATCAATACTCCACATTGTTTTACTTGTCATAACATTCTAATACAACATTTATTTGGGTGCCAGCCCCCACTGATCTTTCTCTATTAAGAAACCAGGGTCTTGTTTAGGCCTTTCCCGAAGACGCAGGCTTTAGCTCGTGCCTGTGTAAACCTAACGCAATGTAAATTTCCGAGGGCTTTTTTCTGCCCTGCACAGTTTATCAAACCAATGTCTCATTCAATCTGCGCAGTTTAGCTTCCTAATGTTTGAACAACTTACCATAATTATCAGGGTGTTAGTAAATAAAGAGAAAGTGGTCTTACACCTCTTCGTGTTTATCAAATGTTGTTATAAATAGGAAATTTCCCTTTCCTTATATAGGACATATTAACAAACTATTGTAATAACTGCCAAAACTTACAATGGAATAAGATATGTGTTCACATGAAAGGGATGACATGTAGTATGATTAATGCTACAAACAATTAAAGTATGAAACATTACACCATGCTGTCAAATACGAAAAAATTTATTTTCAAGCCACAACATAGAAACTAGGCATTCCCAAAAAGCCACATTTGACCGGCAAAACCTTAACAAAACTTTGCTATATTCCAAAAAAGGTTTTTTCCTCTTTTGTCTTGCTTTAAGGAGTGGTAATACAAAATTTAAAGGTAGTAATACACACACAAATGCCTGCTTAAGGTGAATAATATTTAGAGAACTGGAAAGGTAATGTATTTTTGTCTTTGAAAATGCTCCAATATAAAAAAAATAACAACATTTCTGCAAAGGCTTTTTATAGCCCACGTTGCTTTTTCCCGAAAAGGCACTCTTGTTTATGTTCCTTCTGTTTCCAGCTTAACATACTTAACAAAGGACCATACTTCATTATATATTGTTATCTGCTTAACTCTTATATTAGATTGTTGTTTTCAATGTCAAAATAAGTAAATATTTGTTTTAATACACTCTTTGTTTGGATTTTGTTAGAGGTATAACATGTCAAATTCAGAAGCCTTAATAATATATTTGATCCTTAGAACTTGCTACCAGTCAACTGCAGTTGGAACCGAACTGGGCAAATATCTTGGAGCTGTGTGACTCAGTCCGGCAAAAAGATGTCACGTATGTCTCAATGATTTGATATATTACCACCAAAATTATTCCAACTTAGTTTTTCACCTTTTACTTGCTTGTCACAGATAGTGGATACTGCTTTTGGTTGATGTCCAAAGGTTGAGTAGCAATTGCTTCATGAAGACATACCATTTATTTGTTCGGCCATGGCATGTTTCCCTTATTCCTTCCCTCCAGTGGCCAGCAAGGATGACCCACATTAGGTTTTACACATCCAATGGGAATTGAAGTGGACCCATGCTTACAAAGACACTGTATTGTTATTTTTTATGGAGATGGAAGTAGTGTTTCTGGCATTTCCAATATATAAAGTAGTTCAAAAAGAGAGAACTATGTTTTCTTAGATTGGAAATTTTTGTTATATTATAATGTTGTCTTTATCCTTAAAATAGATAAACAAATTTTTTTTATCAATTCAATATCAAATTGAAATATTGAGCATTTTCATTTTATTGCAACGATATCTGCTTGCAAAAACTCCTTAGTTCTATTTTATGATCATCGTGTATTTTGTATTTTGAAAGTCAATGTATTTTGTATCATGTATTATTTGAAAGTAATCTCCAGTACCCTCAACTATTCTATTCACAGTGTTTTACATCTTTATTCTGGGAACCATGTCTACTTATCTGGTTTATTTCTTTTTTAAACAGGGCTAAATATGCTGTTGCTGCAATCAGAAAAAGATTTCAAGACAAGAATCCACATGTTGTCAAATTTGCATTGATTGTAAGTTTTGAGCTTGAACTGTTTGTACTTGATTCTGTATAGGCAGAGCTGTACATGCTTTTGGTGTATAGAAGAGGAAAGTTTTAAGTTGCTTCTCTGAGTTTCATGCTTAATGCAATCTATCAAGTTCAGTTGCCTTATGATCCCATTAAACCCGCATTGCAAGTTTTTTGATACTTTTCTGAAGACCTAAATTTTTCATTCAGACCAAAGATCAATTAGCATTCTCAGTCCTGGTAATATGAAATTTGGCAGTGTGCTGGTATTCGCACGCCTTAAAAAGTTTAGGTGTGCGATGGTGTGTGATGATGTGCGATCCATAAAATGGAGACCTTACGATTTTTACGAAGACCTGATGTCATTTGTGTATTAGAAGGTGTATTGGAAAAAGCGTATGAGGTTTTCATAAAGCCAAAAAGTTTTTATGGAATTTTGGAAGAATTTTCTTGGAAACAAAATAATTTAACAAAAGGATACAAGTTTTTTCAGGCCCTGTTGCCATTACTCCGTTTCCGTATGAGAACGGATTCGAGTGAATCCGTTTTAGAATTTGAGTTCAATTAATACATTCAAAAACAGTGTCATTTGATACCAAACCGAAGTTATTGAAAAACGCTGTTCAAAGTGGGGTCCGAAAATGGAATCATTTGGATTCGCATTGTTTTATTGGGAACAGCGAAGACAGAGGCATTCAAATACGGAGTTATACAATCTCAGTTTCAAAGAGCTTGAGCAAAGGAAATGAACGGACAAATGTGGAGCAATGGAAACACCCATGTTATCCTTTTGACCAAGACAGAGTGGCCCAAGGTAATGTGTTCAAGAAAATATGAAAAGAAGGGAGAGAGAGAACGGAGACACACAAAAACAGAGTAATGGGAACCGGGTCTAATGGAAATGAAGTAAAGAGTTAAATGCCTCCAGGAATTCCATCGATATAACCCACACAAAAGAAATTAAAATTTACTTTAGAGAAAATAAACAAGATATTAAAAAAAAACAAAAGAGAAAAAGAATAGTAATTCAAAACGTGGAACTGGGCGTGCGATAGAAAGCACACCTCAGGAGTTTTAGGTGTGTGTGGAGGCGTTTGCATGCAATCGCACGCCTAATATTACCAGGACTAAGCATTCTAGAGCAGGATCTTGACATTAATAAAACCCACAGGATCAGAAGAAAGCTTCCTTACACATATTTAAGAGAAAAAGCCTCTTAAATACTTCTATCATGGTTTTTGTAGATTTAGATATGTGGTTTAAAATTTTCCTCCCTGCTTTTGCAAGGATTAATTTTTGAGCAGAATATTTCAAATTATTTTTTTTAAACTGACTATTGTGATATTCGTGCAATTTCAATATCATACATGACTTCTAAAAGGGGATTCCTTCTACATGTTTTTAATAGTTTGAAATAAGGGCACATAAACATACATCTCTAAATTAGGAATTTTAGAAAGGAAAATTTTTAAAACGGTCCTGGCAAATTGCTAAACATCTACACAGTAAAACACACAATGCTGAAGTACACAACACAAAAAGCAATGTACATAAATTTTAAATCAGTCTAACTGAAAATCTTTTAGTTTTTAAACAATATGACATTAACCAACAATATCCAGGCTCTCCATTTTCTCAGACCTTTTGTTTCATTAATGTGACATTTGAGACATGTTGCCCCTTTTTTATTTACAATAAATTTCAAGTTTAGTTCCATTCAGTAATATCACATATATACACTTCCATTTAACAATCAATTAAATTTATTTCATTTTAAACCAGACTGGAAGCAAGCATTGCTTAATCCAGTTTTATCTTAAAGGTTTAAATACATAGTAGTTACAGAGGAAATTTTAGGTAATATATAAGCTAGGTAATATATGTGATTTCAGCATATGGATGAGAGTTTGAATGTGCTTATGGATAGGCCAAATAATGCTCAAGCACAGAAGCTTTAAAATGAATTAATTACACCCCAAATTTTTTGTATCTATGTTTGAGCTTAAATACTTTAGTTATAACTTTTGGGTGAGTTTAATCTTAGATTTCAGAGGCCTTTCATATATTTTAAGTATTCTGTCAGAAAGTTAGGTGTCTCTTTGCCAGCAAAAAGAATCTGTTCACATTGAAAAAGTCCTCTCATTGCCAAAATCTCGAAAAAAGCTTTACTTCCTACAAAAATTCTCAAAACTATTGTCCATAAAAGCTCTGCGCTAATTTTATCTATTTTCATTTAGACGCTTGAAGCTTGTATGAAAAACTGTGGTGGGCCAGTGCATGATGAAGTTGCCACAAGAGAAGTTATGGATGAATTGAGAAATTTAGCAAATGTTTGTTTAATCTTTACTTCTAAGCCCAATATACAAGTGTTTTGTGCTATGTTTTAGTTATTCAATTTTGCTCTCAAGATTACTGTCCACCTTATGCTTTATAAAAATGCGTATTCTGTTGTTATTAATATATGTTGTAACCAAACATTGTCTGGTATTCAAGAGGAGAATTGATTCTATTCTACTTTTTCTTGCATCAGGAAAGGAAAAGCAAAAGTGGGTTGACTTCTTAAAACAGATATCTTGTTGCGGTGCATTATATATTCATATACCTTTGAAGTTTTATGGGAACATTATTTGCATTATAGCTTGCTCTTAAACAGTAATAATGTTAAATGCCTTGAAATACAGTCTTTCGATTTTCATGGTTTTTTCTAGGGTGCAAGGAAGTGATCAAGGGGAATGATCTTTATTTAGATTTTAGAAATTATGTAATTTCATGGTAATGCATACTGTTGTCCATCAATGGCTAATTGAATATGTCTTCATTGTTTCAGGAATTAAAAGCATTTTTCACACTCTTAAAGTTGTGCAGTAACCCTAAAAAAAGTTTCGTAATTATATTTGATGTTGATATAGTTTTTGATAATTTAACATTGTTTCACAAAGAACAGTGACTTGTGATTTATCAAGTTTGAGATAATACTTATGCAATATTTGGATTTAGACGGGAAGTGATCCAGTGAAACAACAAACACTGAGCATGGTTCAAACCTGGAATCAAACTCTAGGAAAGAAGCCTAACTATAGGGTCATTCAGGATGCATACAATGTGCTGAAAGCAGAGGGTAAGCATGGTGTTGATCCAACAACGGTCAAGTGTTTTTCTATAAATCAGCATTATGTTGAGCTGTGATGAAAATTGTGCTTTACAAGTGTTGACATCAGTTCTATAGATTTTGGCTTGAAAAGATGCTTGAAAAATGTCAGTTAGAAAATACATTATTGCAATGCTGTTTAGAATATGCATGTGCCGTCTCTGCCTCTCCTGTGAGAAAACTAATTTTCAATAAGCAGTTGATCAGTGTAAACCCTGTTTAGACAAATACCTTAGAGCACATGCTGCAATGGTAGGCAAAATTTCATGAAAACCGTTTTTGAACAGTTTGTTAAAAAATGTATTTTAAGCTGGCTAGAGAAAAAACTGTACAATCTTTATTTTTAGTTTCCAACATTATTGGGTGATGATTGATTTTTCAATTTTTTTGCATAGCTCATATTGGAATTAAGTCATCAATAAAGGAATTTGTTACCAAACATATTTTTCTTCATGGGGTTGATTTGTGTCATGTCTCTTCTACCCCCATTTTTAATATTCTGGTTTATACCTATAAGTAACAAGGCATTTTGACAGTTTAATTCATTTTAGGACACTCATTTCCACAGCTTCATGAAAGTGAAGCAATGTATTCGGCAGAAACGGTGAGATTTAAGCTTTGTTAAGCGTCCTTGATTCTACTTCTCATTTATACTTTCTTTTTTATTACCTGGGTAATTCCTGCTTTTGTTCTAATCCTGTATACGCAACTCCAGTTGACTGTGTTGTTTGTTAAAGACAAAATATTCTTAATGTTATATGTTTTGAACACAAGATAGGATTTAGGGTCTGAATTTTTGTCTGGCTACAGGTTGATACTGATAGTGTTTGTGATATGCGTTTTATCACGATATAGAGTTTGAAGCTTAAATAAAGGATCTGGCTACAAATGTCATTTGAGGTGTAATTTCAAAGTTAAGTTCCTTGAATAATTGCGAACTTTTTTTTCCACGTATTGTCATCATCATGAGAGCTTTAAATGTGAATATTGTATCTAGGTCGAAATCACTATTTGATCAACAGGAAGAAAGTTTGTCAACTTTATAAACGAGGCTGCTTAATCAAAGCAGTGTTTTTGGTGTGCGAATAACTTTGTTCGATCAAGTCTGACTTTTGTCTCATTTGAATGTCATGCGCTCGTGTTGAGCTTCAGATACCAAGGGTTGCTGCATTTTTCCTGCTCATCCATCAGTTAAACCTCACAAACAAGTCTTATTGCTTTTCACCTAGTAACATTTTGAAAAACTCCAATAAAAATAAAGCCGTTGTTTTGAAAATACCTCATAATCTTATCCTTTGGATTTAGAACAGAATTACAACTTTGTCTGTGCATAGAATGTCATTTCACTTTTGTGCCTTTGTTTAATTTAGCAAATTCGTTATAAGGGATTGTCTGCAGGAACGTCATCGCAACTGCTACAGTTCACGGTCAAATACGTCTCTCACTTTATATCGCTATTGCATCAATGCAAAATGTACTGTCAACAAGAAAGCTTTCATCTAAAAAAATGTGACTGTCTACACCGTTGACATTTATGAAGCTCAAGACAATTGCATTTGTTTCCAGACTCCAGGCTTGAATGAGCAACAGTTTGTTTGGACAAATGCTCCTGTTTTGGATTGTTAAATTCAAGATATTGTCATGCTGCTTTTTGAAAGTAATTGGATGGATTGTTTGAGAGAAGAATATTTTTGAAATCGCAAAATTTGAGCCAGTGAAAATGCAGCTCCAAGTTTAAAAGTCTTGCTAGCATTCAGTGACCCAGCGCAAAGATGAATCCGTCTCTTTCAAATTCAACCTACACTCTTTTGTTTTTGTTAGAAAAATATGATTCGCGTAGGAATGAAAAAATTCTGGAAAAAAGTTTTGAATTTTTGAATACTAGAGAAAAACATTCAAATACTTTGAAAGATCGTACTTGGCCTTTTTATAACAATATTTAACTGTTTTATTGTTTGTTTTAATTCTTGAGCAAAGCATTTGAATGTACAGTTTCTTTCAGCAATCTTGTACCGTACCTACACCAGGAGCGTTTTCTTCATTTTTTACATAAAATAAAAGCCAGAACTAGTCCATTCAAAGTGTAAACTAGTCACCAGCCCCTAGAAAACATGGCAGTCGCACGGTCAACGAACGAGACGAAAGTCATTGACAAAAAGAAGCTCAAATGGCACACCCAGACCCCGCCTTGCTTTTATTGTATTCATGTGGACAATTTTCGGCACAATATTTTCCGTAGGAAAGATGGACACTTTATGGATTCTGCCTTTAACTGATAGAAAGCACCCACAATTCGCCCTTCAGTTATCTTTGCTTTGTTGCTAGTTTTTCTTTAAAGCTTGTCTTCTAAAGCAATCCAAATTCAGCTCATGTCTAAAGTGCATTTAAGCTATTAAACATCTTCAAAAGATTGCATGAAATGAAAATGAATTGGTGTCGCAGTTAATCGGAATCATTTCTGTGACTTTCTGTGATAGTTAGCCCAGCCATCTCCTTTCAATGTAAATTTATTTGCAATATTGAAATTTGTTTCGTCATAAATGTCAGCGAATCGTAGAATATGAATTTCCTGGTTTTTGTGAATTTACTCGGTGCACTCTGGTAAAATAAACATGTTGGCTATTTGAATAACTTCATTTAAAAAAATTTGTTTCTGTGACGGTCAGTACAAGTTGTTCGACTAATTCGTTTCTCAGCAAGAACAAACAATTTTCTGTTCGTTTCTTTAGGCTCCCGAATGGGCCGAAGGTGACAACTGCCATCAATGCCGAGTGAAATTCACCACATTTACACGGCAGGTACGATTTCCAAATTGACAAAATTATTTTCATCATCAGCATCAGCTTCAGTTAATCTTCAAATTTGTTTATTATCCCGCTGTTTTCATTTATATACTGACTTTCTAGCTGAATTTGATAATAAACAGACTTATGTAAACTTGCTAAATGAACCCTTTTAGTGACAGAGAAACCTATCTATGATGTTAAACCATTGCTACTTGGTATCAGTTCCAATGGTTTGATTTCATGCAAGGTCGGAACCATTAGATTTGAATCTTTTATGTCGATCGCGTTCAAGCATGTTTGTAAACTATTGTTGGCAATTTCTGAAAAAGATCTTTTGATGAAATTTTGGTATGCAGTGGTTTTATGTATAAGATCTGCCCTTTTTGATAGCACCATTGCCGATGCTGTGGCCAAGTATTTTGCGCAAAATGCTCGTCGAAAAACTCGATTATTCCTAAATTTGGCATTGAGAGAGAAGTTCGAGTGTGCGATGCTTGTTACGATTCAATCAATGCATCCGGGTAAGCTTATTTGTCCAGTTGCTGTGTTTATTTCAGCTTGCATTTACATGTTGTTTAATGGGTCCTAAAACCCACTGTAGCCTCGTTATAATATTAGCCTCGTGTTGATAGCCTTTTGGAGCCAAATCTTCCTGCTGTCAACATTACACTTGTTAGTTTCGTTCTCATCTCATCTTCTCATCTGTAACTGCTTCTCACATTCGATTCGATTAGGACAGTACTTGAACTTGGCTTTCCCAGAAATTTGTCCTGCTATTCAGATATTGCAGAATCTTTGAAACGATTTCATTGTTAAAATCATATCTACCTTTAATCAAATCTGATGCCACTTTAGGTCAGTTCAACAATACTTATTTTTTGTGATAAATTCTTTGATACAGATTACCCTTTAATACAGATTAAGCTATCTATTTGCAATGTTTCTTATCTGAACATTCGTCACTGCTTGGTAATTGAAGCGTCTTCTTATGATGACGTCAGTTTCATGTCGGGTAACTGCTGTACAACTATTGCTGCTTGCATCTATGCGTTCCTTTTCCATAACAACAATCAGCTGCCAGTGGGATATGCTACAGCGCTTGATATCCCTGGCAGCAACGACCCCCCCCCTCCCCCGCCTTAGCTGTATTTGTCCGTTGAGGAGGGGATGTTGGAAGTCATAATTTTGGTTTCTGTTTTCTGTGCAGAACAGTTATAAGTTGCTTGTTTTTGTGCGGCATCAAAGGAGTGCTTTATTGTTATAATTTTTATGCCAGGGGATATTTAGAAATCTCTGCGAGTTGATACCAATTATTAAATGTTATATACTTCAACGTTGGTAGCTCTGTTGCAAAGAAAAAAGGGAGTGGTAACAGCGAGACGCAGAGCTTGGACAGCGATGACTTGCCAGTGGAGTATTTGAATTCATCCTTAGCAAAAGAAGCTCAGGTAATTTTAAGGTTAATAACCAGACTCGTTACACCAAATTTTAAAGCATGTTTAAAACTTGCATTCCGTATGGCTTTAATGTTTCCCGTTTACCAGCTTTTCAAAATCATGTCATAGTAAAGGTGTAAATGAATTAGCAGATTCAGTTAAATTTGAGCTGTCAAGTCACTAGTTTTAAATTGGCTAGCAGGGGTGTGGAAGAGCTTTTCGACCTTGCCCTTACAACAGTTTAGGTTAATATCCCTTTTACTAAATTTCCAAGAGGTGTCCAAAATATGCTAGTCTAATACTAATATTCCGAAAAACAGAAAATTAATGACAGTTCGACAAATTTTTCTTTCGAGATTCCGTTTAGCTCTATCATATCAACCCAAGTGTGTGATATTTAAAACCCTGCAGAACTGTTGCCTCTTTTTCAGACAAAGCCTCAGCCATCAGAGGCTGAGCTAAAGGCCCAAGAAGAAGAGGAGCTCCAATTAGCCATGGCCTTATCTCTAAGTGCTGCTGAAGTAGAAGGCAAGGTTAGCCAAGAGTACACTTTTCTTCTCGAAGTTTTCGTCATTGCTAAAAACGGAGTTTTAATTAATTTGCTCGTCCATTTTGTAAATAATAACTAAAATTTAAAACCGTATGACCTCGCCGAATTTTATCTGTCTTCTCAATTCAGTTTATTATTGCTACACATTGTATTCGCAACCTTTCACTCTCTCTTTCTTGAATGGCGCCATACACCTTGATCTATTTTGCGTTATGGCCAAGCTGTATCTGTATTTCATGTTCTGCTTTGCAAAATGTAGATAATTTTCGTGATACATGAAGCATTTCGTGTCTCGTAGCAACCTAAGAAAGACTGGATGAGTGGTACTTCGACTGAGTCACAGCCGCGCAGCTCAGAACCACCAAGCTCCTTGTATTCCAAACCAAAGTCAAGTCTATATTCAGATGTGGTAATTATATTTTATAAAAGATTCATCAATTACATTAACAATCTCATAACTTTATGAATAAATAACTAAAATAAACACATATAAATTGTCTAGCAAAATTCTTTAATCAAAAGATCTGAATGGACAATACCCATGTTTCCCCATTATTTTGGAGAATTTTGTCATAAAAAATCCTTCTGTCCCATTTTCGCACGCTTTGTAAACTGTGCATGTCACTTAATTAGGTCACTCAATAAAATCTATGAATAAAATCTTACTTTTCCTTTTTCCTTACGTTGTTCATTAAGATAAATTAAACTAAGAACCCTCGTCATGTTTAGAAATTCAGTCATTTAATTATGTTTTATTATATTATATTTTTTGTATCTTTTAAGCCAATTGATATGTTTTGGTTAATTTTATTCCGCCATAAATTAAACATTTAAAGATATCTTTTTTTTATGATCAAATTGAGTCTAGGCCGAGATGATCTCAAACTATATAAGCAATACTACTTTTTTAATTAGAGAAAAAAGTAAGCTAAGTATAATGATAAGGTGAACATGAAAATCATAAACAAAAAAGATTAACAATATAGCAGAGATATTGCAGTATTTATTACTTAAAGGTCAATTATCATTAGCTGTTGCTAAAACAAAGATAGCTATGCATTTCATTAAGACATCTCACTTTTTCCCTTCGCTCTGTTTCAACGGTAATTTTGTTTAAAAAACGTTTATTGATGTGCCCTGCCAAACATTTGATGTCTATGTCTTGTATTTGATGATTATATGTCTTGACTAATAAACAATATGCATGAATGTTGTTTCTGTGATGACTCGACTCAACGATAACTGAAGAACAGAGGTAATGTCAAGAATTGGAACTGCAACAAGTACATTATCTAGAGTGGATAAAATTTGGAAAGAAAGAAAGCTATCAATTGAAACCAAAGTAAATCGTCTACGTGCGATCGTTACCTCAACAGCACTCTATAGATGTGAAATATGGACTCTTGGCAGAAAGTTAGAAAAACGAATAGATGCATTCGATATGAAATATTTTCGGAGAATTCTCGGAAAATCATCGGAAATCAACTGAATTTGTTAGAGGTGAAATTCAACGACAATATGGCAAAATTGAAAGCTTTCTGGACATTGTAGAAACGCGGAAGCTTCAATGGTTTGGACACGTTATAAGAAGAAAAGAAGTCATCATGCACGGGCAAGTAGAAGGAAGCAGGAAAGTGGGGAGACCCCAGAGAATGTGGATCGACGATATCAGACAATGGACATGATGATGATGATGATGATGATGATGATGATGATGATGATGATGATGATGATGATGATGATTGATGATTATGATGATGATGATGATGATGATGATGATGATGATGATGATGATGATGATGATGATGATGATGATGATGATGATGATGATGATGATGATGATTGATGATGATGATTGATGATGATGATTATGATGATGATGATGATGATGGTGATGATGATGATTGATGATGATGATGATGATGATGATGATGATGATGATGATGATGATGATGATGATTGCTGATGATGATTATGATGATGATGGTGATGATGATGATTGATGATGATGATGATGATGATGATGATGATGATGATTTATGATGATGATTATGATGATGATGATGATGATGATGATGATGATTGATGATGATGATTATGATGATGATTGATGATGATGATTATGATGATGATGATGATGATGATGATGGTGATGATGATGATTGATGATGATGATGATGATGATGATGATGATGATGATGATGATTTATGATGATGATTATGATGATGATGATGATGATTGATGATGATGATTATGATGATGATGGTGATGATGATGATTGATGATGATGATGATGATGATGATGATGATGATGATGATGATGATGATGATGATGATTATGATGATGATGATGATTATGATGATGATGATGATGATGATGATGATGATGATGATGATGATGATGATGATGATGATGATTATGATGATGATGATGATTATGATGATGATGATTATTATGATGATGATGATGATGATGATGATGATGATTATGATGATGATGATGATGATGATGATGATGATGATGATTATGATTATGATGATGATGATGATGATGATGATGAATTTGACTGTTTTGTATTGCCAGTTGCAAATTCTTAGTAATCAAACCTTAGATTTAATCATGTTATTATTGTCTAAGAAGTCTATGCTATATAAACTAGAGAGGCAACGAGCTTTTGTAACCCGGTAGGCGCATTTTCATATAGTTAGTAAAATGATATAGCAATTTTTAGTCACTTATGTATCTTTTCCATATTTTCCAGATCGCAGATTCAAAAAAAGTTTCAAGGGAATCTGAGGTGAGGTTTGCCGTTTTTTAGATTAAAATAAGCAAAATTCCATAATGAAAACATCTGAGCAAGATTTTAAGCCATTTTTTGAGATTCTTGAGTTACTAGTTATTTTAGGTATTACTGTATTTTGGCTTTGGTAAGTCTGTGATCACCAATCTTTCAAGACGTTGAAGAGTCGTGTTTTAAAATGAACTTCTTCTCTCTTCAAAATTCTAAAAACCAAAAATCCCGTCCTTGTTTGAGTTAATTGGATCTGGACCTTGGTGTAAATGTCTTTTCCTTTTTTATCCATTACCTAACGTCTCATTCTGTTGAGGATTATTGAGCGAAAATGAATTTATTTTAATTGGGATTCTTTGATTTTTTTATTGCAATGGTTTACGTAAAGAAAAAAGAAATGATGTAGGACAGGATTGTTCTTGTCGGACATTGAATCTAGTAGGATAAGGAAGGTTCTTGTAGTGCAATTGATTTTATAATGCAGTAAATCTTATTTGACAAGAAATCTTGTAGAACAAAGAATATCGCAGAACAAAAAGTCTAGTAGTATAAGATATTTTCTTGTGAAGAAAACGATCCAGTCTAGGACAAGGAAATAGTCTTATAAAGCAAAGCACGTTGCAGGATAAAAGCTTTTATGTAGGACACGAAATTCTTAGGCCCTTTGTAAGACCAGAGTTTCGTGTAAGGTAATAAATTTTGTAGGAGTATGACTTTTTTGGACTTCTGTCTTTTAGGCCAAAATCTATTCTTTTTAGGGCAATGAATCTTGTAGGCTATAAATCTTGTAGGACGAAGAGTTTACGAGTGGTTTTCATGCCAACCATCTAAGTTCATTCATTTATTATTTATTTTTGATCATGGTTTAAACCGCAAATCTACGGCGGATATCCACAAATGCAAAGTTGTAGCTTGGTTGTGATGTTTTTACCCACCTAGAGCTGGTGGCGTAGAAAATATTCCACAGAGATTATTCTCAGCCTGTTTAACAATGTATGCGTTGTTGTTGTGCAAGTAAAATTAAAGTAAAGTAAAATCAGGACGCAAGGCTCCGTTTGTTTTTTACAAGTTTGTTTCGCATTGTGTTCACGAAACGCAATCAACTTCACGCAATCGTCTTCGTCATTCAAACCATCGATTCTGCCCCAGTCTGTTCTCGGGACAATCACAACAAACGCTAATTATTGATATCGTTGTTACTTCGTGGAGACGTAGTTATTCAGAATCGAAGATTGAACCTGCATATAGAAAGTTTGCTTGATTTGCGCCTTGCATGTGGATTGCTTCTTGTATGTTTTTGACAACTTTCGAGCACAATCAAATTGCAGAGTGACTACCTCCAGTAATAAATGGTAGGAAAGAGAAAGCCCGAATACTCGGATGCTCTGCGCCAACTGGACCGTAGCTTTGATCGGGTAAATTGCAGCTGGCTGTATTTTGAGAGGAAATTTCAGAAAAACTATCTCATTAAATGAGTTCTAGAGAAAAGAATAATAATAGCTTATCTCATTGAATATTCAGTGTTTATTTCGATTTCTATTTGACGCTGTTTTTCTGTAGCAGGAAATGTTGATACCGTAAATGCTATATAAATTTGTTGAGATCAATCTCATTACCTTTGCAGTTGTCAAGATATCTGAATCGACAATATTGGGAGAAAGTGAAAGACGAAGGGAATACAAAGCCATCAGCCCCGGATGTTGATGAAGAAGATGTTTCAAGACGAACTGGCTATAAGGAAGAGCCAGAGGATTTGGTAAGCTGGCTTTTGCTAGCCTTATATTGCTAGAACGACTTCTTATTGCCTGGTTGAATTCCTCTTATTGCTACAATGACTTCTTCCTGTTGCCAAAGTAGCTTCTTTTTATTGCTAGAGTGACTTCCTCTGATTGTTAGGCTGACTTCTGTTGCGAGAGTGTTTTCGTGCTATTGCTAGAGTGTCGTTTTCTCGTTGGCACATGCTGTGGGGAACTTGTGTTTCCTTTAGAATTATTCCTGTGCCCTTTCGATCCCCAATTTCCAGTGACACCAAAAAACTCACATTTGCTACAACTGTCGTTTATGTTCTTTGTCACAGATATCTACTTCCATTTACTCTACTTCTTTTTACCTCTAAGCATTAACTATCCGTATTTATACGTTTTTCTTATTTATCGAGAGTATTCGAAAATTTAGTCATGCTTTTATAAGTTTGTTCTATTCTTATCTTATTGCATCACATTACGTCATATTCGAATTTTCCACAATTTTCTACCGAATTATGATTTCTCAAAACGAGGCTAAATCACAGTTCTGGGTTATTTGGGCCTAATCGATACTCGGATAGAAAAATTTAAAAAGTCTACGATTACTACGCATTACATAAAGTCAATGAATAAAATTTATTAAAATCAAGGTGAGGTTTTCAGTATTTTCAACAACATATTCCTATATTTGTCATTTATGTGTTGATCAAATCGACAGTCGCTGGCACAGTTTTCTGCGATTTTTCCAGGTTCGTTAACCAGCAAAGATGAGAAAATTTGCAAACACCGCCTTTTGTAGTGACTTATAAAACAGATTCTTATAATGATAGTACAATGCAATTTCCAAATACACGGCAGCAAGTATCTTACTATTTGTTCACAATCCACAATGTCAGCAGAAGATAACAAGCGATCATACAAAATGAATGTTTGAAATTTTTCATGATATACAATGAAATAGCTATTTTCTGGCGATCCACGAATTTCAATATTGCATAAAAACGACTGAAAGCTGATTTCCTAAAGTATTTGATTTAATCCAAGTTGATGATGTTTGGTTCACTTTTATCCAGTATCAAAAATATAAATTAAACATAATTTTTCGCCGTTAACAATAGACATCGTTAATTGCGGCACATTCTAGATCCAAATTTTTTATTAAGGAAACATGTGTTTGCATTGAAATATTGGCACTATTTTTTTTCTTAATCTATCATGAAGTTGTGTGGCTTTCGAGGCAATGAATTGGCTCCAGTGGTAATGCATATCGGATTCAATGGTATTGCATTGACCGTGTTATTGAACTGCGTTGTTAATTTTATCACAGAGTTTTGACAATTTATCAATATCAGGGGCTATTCATAGTTGAAGAATTCAAAAAGGGGATCCTGGATGAAAAATAGGCAAACAACAGAAATTGAAGTGACTTTCTGTCCAAAATGAGATTTTGCGCTGCAATCGTAAGGAAACGTGTGTCCTGATGAGCCATTGATAATTTTTTATGTTCAATGATTGGTAGGAGCACCCAAAAACCGAAATAGCAAAATTGATTTTATAAGCAGACTAACGTTATGCTGCATTACAGTGAATACAACGGACTTTTGCAAATAAATTTTTCATTTTTGGCCTATTTTTGAAATCAGTAATAGGCTCATATTTTTATTTATAACGCCGTTTGAATTTTTGCAATTAGCCGTCCAATGGACATTTTTCGACGAAGAACATTTGAAAGCAACAATTTTCAACTCTGGCATTAGTGATGATTTTTAATGATTAGTTTTGCCTTCTTACTGCGAAAGTTAACACATTTTTTGTTTGCTTTGTTAGGAAGAGAATTCGGAAGACCCTGACGCATTTGTACAAACAATGGGACAGAGTATCGAGATGTTCATTACACGAATGCAGAATGTGACATCAAAAGGAAAACACATCGCTATGGATTCTACTGTCCAGGTAAGTAAGGGCGCTGTTTATATTTTCGTAAGCAATATTAATTAATGATGGACTAAACTTTGGGTAGTAAATGGTTTACGTGATCGAGATTTGGGCGTGAAGCAGAGTTTTTGATCAGCCCAAATTTTCACATTCGCAAAGTCCTGACTGATTGAATTTCTTTATTTTTTAAGGAAGACATTACTTTGCGTGGATATAGACCTGGATCACGAGAAAACCTTAATGACTAGATTCAAAACATTCTGGTTGGTCAGAATTTCTTTCCCACTAAAGAAAGCGAGTTTCAAGACATATCTAAGTAATTAGAATTTTGACTGGGAAGGATTTTTAAAAGCGGATGTTTTGCGCTTGTCTAAGAATGGGCTTCGTGACATGTGAAATGAGCCAAGTGAACTGGCGTCAGCCAATGTCCTGCTGATTCGGTATATCGTAAATTTAATTGAAATACAGATTGTCATTAAGTTCAGGAATATGATAAACGAAAAAATAGAATATAAGCAACTTTTATTATAAATTGGGGGTAAAGAAAATAAAATACCTTGGTTGCAAATTTACTGCATTTTGCACTTAAAAGAAATTTCGATATTCGTTTCTCGTTTTCTTCTAACAGTTTTCTTCGTAAGTCAGAAATTTTCAGTTAGAAAACTAATGGATAATTTTTTACAGCTGACACGAAGTTAGTGTTGCTTTACTTTGATGTGGACTAACTTACCCTTAAAACTTGTCTTGCTTGCGATCATTTCATTCAGCCAACCAAGGACAGCTGATATTTTCAAGATTTCAAAATTTGGTTGATGTAAACTCACCTTGTTTTAATATTTTCCACAGTCTTTGTTCCAGTCACTTAGTGCCATGCATCCTCAATTAATGAAGCTCATTGAAGACGAAGAAGACAACAAAGGTAATTTTTATCGATTATTTTCATTTATAATATTACTGCTTTATCACCACTTAGCACAAAATATTGGACAGAGGAATTGGAGCTTTCGCAATACTCCAGTGTTTTCACTAATTTCCAGGTATAGCCCAACGTTTTGCTCATTAATTGCACAAAGGCCCTTTGAAGCAACTATAAAAGTATTTAAAGCTTCTTAACAGCTACTATTATGAGATTTTTAAGGTATAGAAGAGCACTTAGAGGTTTGTTTTAGCTTTCATTCGATGTTCCCCAATTCAGATTATATTTGTCTGTATTTTTAGCAAAGTACCAAGCAATGCTGGAAAAAGTCACTTTGATTCGCGAGGCACGTGAATCGCTAGACACAATGCGCAATCAGCATCGAGAGAAATTACATCACCAGGAGCTGGAGCAGGAAATGCTGCGTCGTATGCAGATGGAGCAGAAATTAGAGTTGATGCGGCAACAGAAGCAGGAGTATCTTGAATACCAGCGACAGCTGCAAATCCAACGGCAGCAAGAACTTGAAGCCCAACAGCAGTTTAAGTTTCAGCAAAAACAGTTCCAGCTGCAGGGTCAGTACCAAGGCAGACCATACCCAGCGCAGGGACAATATGCTGCAGGGCAAGATACATACCTTGGTAGCGCCGGATATCAACAAGTGCCTGCTTCTACTGTTCAAGCCGTTCCCACAAGCCAAGTGCAGTTCCCTGGCCAGTATCCACAAGTGACATCTTCCGGTGCTGCTCTTGGTCACTCAGGTGCATCCCAACCTGCCCATAACATCCAACCTAGTTTGGCACATTCTCAGATGCATCCACATCAACTCGATAACCAACAGTATCGCCAGCCTCTACCCCAGGACCAAACACTGTCTGGGAGAGGAGGCGTACCTTCTAATGCCCAGCAGCAGCAACAACAAAAGCAACAACAACCACCGCAACAGCCCTCCCAGTACCCTTCGCAAATGCCAGATTTGTTAGATGCGCCCATTGGATCTGAAGTGGGAATACAGGGATCGGATCCAAGGTAATGATTTTGTGTTGTGATCTTATTTTTAGTTGCAATTAATTTGCAAATGAATGCTACAGCGCCCCCCTTAATAAACCCTCTAAATAAGCCCCCACCTCTGAATTACTTTTAGCAAAGATGTCCACCTCTGAAGATCAATGTTTTCCTTCTTCAGAGGATGTTAACTTGGTGCAAAGTCCGAGTAGCTTGTTGATGCAAATTGGTCTGATGATGATTAGATTGATTTAAAATATTTATTACTGAATTTATTACCAGCAAAAGATAAGGTTTACAATCGATATCTGTACTTTTCTGTTTAATCATTTTGAAGGTTTCATAATTCTACAATACAGACGCTCCTCCTACCGTGTGATCACTCTCAAAGAAGCTTCTATAAGCCCCTGGTGGCTTTTTCGTAGATTTGCAGTATTCTTATTCATATTTTGACCGTGTCAGTTACATTCTTTCAGTTTAGGCTGAACAGACCTCTTGTGCTCCCAAGAAAAGTTTTAATTTGGAGCAAAAGGCTGCCAAAAGGAAATGTCCTGATCAACAAGCTATTTCGCTTTTCTTTCTTGTAATATTCATGTTCTTCGATTTATTCAAGAATTCGAATAATTTCTAAACCTAAAGTTGGCATATCTATTGGGCTGTGATTAGCAAGTACAACACCATACATTTACACTTTAACTGTGTAGACACGGGTTGGTGCCAAATAAGTGTCAAATTTAAAATTATTCTTCCGACTAATAGAAGTTTATTGCATATCAATGAAACTTTGCTTGATTTTTTTCGACTGGTTGCCCGTTCTTGTTTTATTTTGTACCACATGAGTAAAACAAATGAGTAACAAACGTGTTGCTTTAGTTTTAGACTGTCGTGTACATGATAAACATAATGGTTGTATATTTCTTATCATACGGTCCTTGGAACTTCAAAGGCCGTTTCGTGATCATTTCGACAATTTTAAGAGATTTGCTTTGTATTTCAAAAGACACCTTTTATTACATTGCGATTTGTGATTTCAGAACGCAAAACTTCGCGGCGCAGCAGAATCCTCATTCAATGAACTATCATCAACACCAACAACAATATGCTCCTGGGATTGCTCCACAACAACAGCAACAGCAACCATACTCCCAGTCCCCGCAGCATCAGCAGTCACAGCAACATCAGCATCAGCAACAACAGCAACAGCAACAACAACAGCAGCATCAGCAACAACAACAGCCGAATCCTTTACATCAACAACCGTTTGCACAAGCTCCTGCTCAACAGCAGCACCATTCCAGTCCTCCACAGCCACAAATCGGGCAGCCCCCGTTCCCGTCTTCTTCTTATAACCCAGCGCCCGCTCAGCAGTCAAACGCTACGTCTTACCAGCAACACCCAACGGCAGCGAGTTATCAGCAACCATTTTACCAGGCGTCTGGTAACGTAGTTGCGACTGGGGCTCCGACTTCATATGGAAATCTGGGGCCGCAGCAGAGTTATCAGCCGCCTGCCAACGTAGGCCAATCTCCAAGTAATTTCAGCGGGACTCAAGAGCAACCTGTGTACCGTGACACCGGCATGCCCAATCAGTTTGCTCAGCCCATTCCGAAACAAGGTCCAGCGTCTCTTCCCTATAGTGGACATCAGCAAATAAGCGCCCAAGGTGCAGGTCCAGCCTCTCTACCAGCGAATATAAACCAGTATTCCACAGGAGGGCAGGCTTACGTGCCACAAAATAATTACATGCAACAACAGCAACAAGAGGTGCAAATGACAGAAGGCATGAAAGACCTTCAACTGATTTCCTTTGAATAATAATTTACAGTGCAATCGCTATAGAGAACAGCTCCTATATTCAATGAAATTATATACTTATGTGAGATCGCTTTGGAAGTTTCTTTATGTTGAATAGAAAATTGTTAACTTTGATGTTAATGATGATCAAAAATTGTTAATTTTGATGTTATAAAAAACTTCTTAAAAAAAGTCATCAAGAGCATATGAAAAACTGCTTTGAGAGAAGCGAAAGGTCTGCTAGGAGAGAGGTTCAAACGCAATGAACATGGAATGCCGCCATGTCGATTTTGCAGCAAGATGTGTAAACCATCCTCGCCAACAGGCATTCCTTTCTCCCACCAAGCGCATCTCGTATCTTCAAATAAGACAGCAAGCACTAGCAATATCATAGATTTCTCATATCTGCTTCAGATCTATTTAATTAAAAAATGAGTAGAACCCGGAAAATTTATTTTAGATTCCAGTAAAATAATGCACGAAGTGTTTCTCTAAGCATATAATAGTGCGTATGGAACAATCTTTCGAATATAATCAGAGGTTGGCCACATTCATTTTGTGATCAATTATAACAGCTTAAGGGCCGAAAGACCTTTCCCACTTTTGACTCGATCTATCCCACCTCTGATTCGATCTATTCTAGTTTTAACACGATCGAACCCACCTTTAACACGATCTAACCCACTTTTGGCTCGACCTTTCATTTTTTTGACTCAAGATTTCCTACTTTTGACTCGATCTATCCCACCTCTGATTCGATCTATCCTACTTTTGACATGATCCAACCCGCTTTTACTCGATCTGACCCTATCTTTGGCTCGACCTTCCACCATTGAATCTGTCTCTTCCACTTTTGAATCGATCTATCTCACTTTTGAGTTTTGACTCGACCTTTCCTTCTTTTGACTCGATCTGTCTCACCTCTGATTCGTTCTATCCTACTTTTGACTCGATCTATCCCATCCCCGAATTCGATATATCATATTTTGACACGACTTAACCCGCTTTTATTCGATCTAACCCACCTTTGACTCGATCTTCCACCCTTGAATCTGCCTCTTCTACTTTTGACTCGATCTATCCTACCTCTGATTCGATCTATCCTACTTTTGACTCGATCTATCCCATCCCCGAATTCGATCTATCCTATTTTGACAAGACTTAACCCGCTTTTATTCGATCTAACCCACCTTTGACTCGATCTTCCACCCTTGAATCTGCCTCTTCTACTTTTGACTCGATCTGTCTCATCTTTAAATCGACCTTCCCGACTTTTGGCTCGACGTTTCAACTTTTTGACCCGATATTTCCACTTTTGAGTCGATCTGTAAGAAAAGCAGTTCCGCTTAAATTCTTCCTTCTGGTATGATTGATGAAAAGAACTTGGGATGAAAAAGGTTATGGGTTTGTGCTCCTACATACCCTACAGTTTATGTCATAAAACATGGAATTATAGGGCATACTGGAAAAACCAGACCCTATGACCCTAGGACCATTAACTACGAAGAACCAAAAAGGACCCTTAACTACTACATGATTTGCGGCTCCCCCAGAGCCATGCTTTTTAATGCTATCATGTTGACAGCTTTGGAAGCATTCCGACTTTGGCTCAAACATTGAACATTGTCATTTAACAATCGTCTGTCTCCTGTCCTTTTATGATTTCCAGGAGGTGAATTTCGCACCAAATTCGCTACGAGTTTGTTTCAAAAGTCACTTTTGATTTCCACCAGACTGCAAAATTATACATTTTTAGGCGCCTATTGCGAAATATTTCGCAGCGGTGAAATTAGAACTCTTTTCGAGGTCAAAAATCAAAACTGCGCCCCCCCCCCCTCGATATCTTTACCAGCGATTTGGCTGCCAAACTCACCTCGTGGCAATTAACCCGTGCAGTGTGTGCTGTATGGGCGGGGAAGTTAAAGAAGTGCGGAACTTCGGGGAACTTTTTAAGGGAAGACTTTTGATTTGGGGTTGTGTAAACGCCTTTTAATATTTTGACTACTTTTTTGCCACGAAATCTAGTGCTCTGCAGCAGTGGCGTAGCGTGACTTTTTCAACTGGGTATTCTCTATTAAACAAAAGGGTGGGGCAGGGTGTGGCTCGATGGGGCTTGATGAAAATAGAGGGATAATAGGAAGATTAAAAGGACTAGCTTTTGACATTTAATCTATTACTTTAACACTTTTCTTTTTGGTTCGGTTGGCAAGTACTGCACTGTCAGGGCATTACTATGATGAAAACGATACTTTGCTAAAAGGACCCAATGCAAATATACTCTTCGAAGTCATTCATTGCATCAAAATTCCATTTCATCAAAAGTAATTCAAATCAAAACGTATCATTGAAAATCAGTAAAATTTTGCTGGTCGAAATATGTCCAAATAGTTGTTGTTGAATCCTCTAAAATTTGCACTGATGTAAAGAGGAAGTAACTGTAAACACCTAATCTTGATACCTTAATACAAAAGGGCTTTCAAAAGTTTCAAAATTATTCACATAGGGCATTACACGAGTTATAAATAGCTTGTGGTATGCAGTCTAGACTTTTTCTTCATGGCCTAATCGTGATATTTTCAATACAAGTTAATGTTTGAAAGAATCGAAGGTAATGAGATGAGACTGCACGATAATGCAAATAAATGCGCTCGAATAATGCAAACAAAATAGGCCAACAAGATAACTGAATACACCAGGCAACTATAAGGATATTATCCAGGCCTATCTGCATTTACTTTAATTCCGTCTCATAACACAATTAGAAGCATCCCTGATTGACAAGCAATAACAAAATTGACATTTCAAGAGGGCACAGATCTGAGTCAGTGTAGTATTATGAAGAAGCCTACCTTACCTTTCCACTTTGCTGTTGGTAGATTAAGATTAGGGGTCAAATGAGAGAATGATTATAAAACAGTAATGCGGACATTGCAATAGCTTTTGAATGAAGTCATGTTTACTGTTTTCGATGAAGATCCATCACTCCAACCGCTCCGACGTCCATTATCTGTTTATATCGATCTCAAAACGAGACTATTTTGAACCAACTTTGAGGCTGTACGCTGCATATTTCTCAGCGTACAGGACCATTGTTTTAGCTGATTAACGGCAAATATTATTCATGGAAAGGAGCATTTTGATTGGTTAAAGTACCGTCTAGGGTATTCACTGCGTATTCATGACCGATCTCCATTCAACATGAAGTAGCTCAATCTTCAAAGATCTCCCAGCCTCTCTATGCGTCGCAGTGTTGTTTCCATGAATTTCGTGATATTTTGTACTTGTACAAAATGTAGAATATCGAAGGTAATGAATTCAACCAGAATCAATTGCCCCAAAACATTTTTTAGTTATTACAAATATACGTCGTATCAATATTTTTTCTGAGGAATCTCAGGGTATTCACCTTGAATACCCGGACGCTACGCCACTGCTCTGCAGCTGCACCCTGCTCTGCAAACATTGTCCATTTATTTAATTCTCCCTTCCTTCTAAAGGCCCTCTAAACCCTGGTCTGATAAACTCCGTTATCTCATGCACAGTACTTTTTTGAAGGCTAGATGAAATGTTTTTGCTTCTCTTGTCTGGTCAGTTACTTAAAAGTCAGGGGCGGATTCAGGGTGTCGAACAGGTCGCACGGAAGACCGTCAGATTTTCAGAATTTAGTTTTAGTCTTCAGTCATTCAAATAAGGCAATCATGTTTACCACAATATTTTATTTTCCTCCTTACAGATAATACATTTTGCTCGCTTTACACAATAAACACAGGACCGAACATGGTCGACCATCCTAGGCCGTAAACAGTATGATTTTTAAGCATGTCGCCCGTGCCGCACAAATATGCAAGGCTCTTTGTTATGCAAATATTTTACCAAATCTCACCAATCAAAATTCAAGTTTTCACATATTTGTGCGGCGGGAAAAATCTGTAAACACTATGTTAGACCCCACTCACATGAACAATTTCAGGCCGGTCTGAAACTCAGGTCGTCTTGAAATTTGATGGTGCGTGCTAATTTTGCTCCCGCTCACATGGATGTTTTCAAACCGGCTTGAAAAAGCCACAGGGTTTTGCACATGCGCATTTACGGCGAAATTTAGATCAAAACAATCATGGCGCCCAATAATTTGATGAAAAGGTTTATTTTAAATCAGTTATTGAAATTTATTTTCGTTGTTTTAGTCTCGGCTTTGCAACTTCATGTAATTTTGCTTCTTCAACTTATGTTTCAACTTCTTCAACATGTACCGTTTCTTTATTCCGAGAGTTTTCATGACGTCCAACCAGGGCCGTCGCTACGGGGGGGGGGGGGGGGGGGTGTGACACCCCCCAGACCCTAACCTTGTCGGCAAATCTTCGAAAATGGAAGTTTTGTCGTCAACCTCTTGGAAACTGGCAAATTTTCAGAAGAAAGACAGAGTTTTGCCATTTTCAAATAGATATTATTGGTTGTTGATGACAGCACCAGTCACAGTTAATTGATGATCGTTCAAGCTCTCTCGTGCTAAAGGCCAGGCGCGGTCTGGCCCCGGGTGGCAAAGTGGCGATCCCCACCGGGCCCTCAGACATGTGAAGTAAAGAAAATTACGGGCCCTTTCTGCAAAAGTTAGAGTAGAGAAGATAATTTTCATAAACCAAAAACTACATACAGTCACAGCCAAGGCCCCTAACATGCGTGCTGGCTACACAACTAAGCATCATAATGAAGTCTGCGCGCAGGCCAAAGGGCCCCACTATGACCAACATCCACTATACAGAAATTCTATCTCAAATTTCGCACAAAGACAAATCTGTCCTACTTTCTACAGAAATAAGCAAAATAGGAGCTTTGCAAAAACAAACTTTCGCGTTTTAGCGAAAATCATGGACTTTGCGTGAAAAACATTTCTTTTCAATTGACGTTTCCTTCTATTTTCAATCCACATGATACCATCAAAGCAACAAAAAGATGTAAAATTTCTCCAACAGAATAATTTTTCGTCAAAGTTTTCAAGAGGATCAACAGCAAAATTTTCTGGATATTTCACAAAGATAAATTTTCGAAAATTTAGTATTTCAGGAAGTTTTGCGTATCAATCATCCGCGATTTTAGGCCATTAACGCTAAAAAACGAAAAGGTTCCTTCCCTCGAAAGTTTCTTTCCGTGAAAATTTCTTTCC